TCTTCCCAAACATTGCCACCAACTTCAGCAATGGGGACTGGATTTGCGAGCGAGCAATTCTGTCACTCAAAAATGAGCAAGTGAACTCTATCAATGCTCAGATTCTAAACAGCCTACCTGGACCGGTGTCAACGCGCACATCCGTTGATACGTGGTTGGTTCAGCGTAAACAGGCTGTTTACCCCCACTGAGTTTTTGAATTTACTCGAGCTCAATGGGAGACCACCTCACAGACTTGATTTGAAGGTTGGTTTGCCAATCATGCTCAGGGTCAAGCAAGGGGTGTGGCACACGATCGCTGGTTACGACCCCCCCCCCCCCTGATTGCTGTCTTAATAAGACCCCCCCCCCCCTGAACTATAACCTAAGATAGCATTACCAGAGTTGAGAAAGAGGTCAGGCACAAGTCTTTGGAAACCCCCCTCCCCTCCCATGAAAGCCCTCAAACGACCACTTCTTCCTCCTCTTAACCTCTGGACCTCAAAGTGTGACATTCTGGAGGACACCATCTTTTTCTATAGAGTTTTCAAATTTCTGAGAGCTATACGCCCGATTTTCTGTGACTGCACTTTACAATCACACGTAATTTGACGGCTGATTTTGATCTGAATGGGCATATTAAAAGGGCCATAATTTTCTTATGGGTGGGGCGTTCGGCTCCAAATTTCCAATGTAGCAAGAAGAAGCTATGTGCTCAATACTCATACCAGCAATGGAGCGCATTCTGGATTTTGAAGGTAAGTTAAGGGTGTGCCGCACCCCATTAACTATATCAAAAAAACATTTTTAGCGGACAGTATTTATATGAATCGATAGCCTAAACCTTGTAGATTCCATAGGACTGTTTGGAGCCTGATTTGTCTTCTTAGCTCTAAGTAATATTTGGTGAAAGCACAGCGATCAAAAGCGAAAAATGCGAAAAACGAGATTATGGTTGGCTTCTAATTCCACAGTTTGCAGGTCTTCTGAAGCGGGATTCCTGAGGTGGACAAAGCAGGAGTAGTGCTTTGTCTTAAGCTTTGTCTTAAGTGCAAAAACGGATAGCCAATTCACCTTTGAAACAAAGTTGACCATGTTGGAATTTGACCATTTCATTTAGGTAGCCTAGTATCTTGAATCTTCAGAATTCGCTCACACTTTGTCTACAGGGTTTAATTGACATGCTAATTATGGATATGATACGAATATCAGGTTATCGCTATTATCAGATTACCCAACTACGACCCCCTCCCACTTTGACTCCTCAATACGACCCCCCAGGTGTGGCGTGCCGCACCCCACGCTTGACCCTGATCATGCTCCTTCGTAACATCAACCCACCGAAGATGTGCAATGGTACAAGGCTTTGCATCAGGGATCTCATGCCAAACGTCATAGTAGCGACATATTGGTGGGAAAGTTTAAAGGTGAAATCATTCATATTCCACGAATCCCTTTGGTCCCCTCCGATATGCCCTTTGACTTCGGGCAAGTGCAGTTCCCGGTCAGGCCTGCACTTGCTATGACGATCAACAAAGCGCAAGGACAGTCTCTGCGAACAGTAGGAGTAGACATGGAAACTCCCTGTTTTTCGCATGGTCAGCTGAACGTGGCGTGTTCGAGGGTCGGGGGTCCAGCGAACCTGTACATATATGCGCCCGAAGGGAGCACAGATAACGTAGTTTATCCCAGGGCGCTAACATAATTGCATGTTGTAGTATAGTACAGTATTTATTCGTTGCATGCCATTCTATTGGAAAATCCAAAAAATGGCAAAACGAAATCCAAAAAAGAACTGGCGGCCAGCGGCGGTTAGGACAGGTGGGTGGGACAAACAAGGAGCTTAACAGATCCAGTTAAGCTTCCTTCCTTACTGATGAGTTCCGAGGAAAGCCTAGGGTCTGTTTAGCTAAACAAACAAGGAGCTTAACAGATCCAGTTAAGCTTCCTTCCTTACTGATGAGTTCCGAGGAAAGCCCAGGGTCTGTTTAGCTAAGCCGCCTAAGGGTAGGAACGAAACGGTACAACTAAAGAGCCAAAGTTTTATTCCTCTTCTAGAGGAATACTTCTTCAGCTTTTTTGACCGAAATGTATGTGATGCCGGGCAGAGCCGGTAAGCCAGCTAGTTTTTTATGCTGAGCAATTTTTTTGCAAGAGAAGAAAGGCTTGCCAAAGTGGCATATGAGATGAGATGTTAACTGCCTTGTAGAGCTTGGAACGCTGATTCAATCTGCCCACACTATTACTGCAGGCTTTTGGGTGAGGAGTTTTGACTCTTTTCAGGAGCCGAAGCCGGGGTAGTTGCACTCAAATACGACCGAGACCGGTACTGCATTGTTTTCCTAGTGATGTTATAATTAGTGTGATGGTTTCTGGAACATATGCTCCAAGTTCAAATTCTCTGTTATGCTCTTCGTCTTGCCTTTTTCCAAAAAGTTTGCGCATCCACTAGCTTTGTCTATTCTACTCCTATGCTTGTACCATCGCAATTTCGAACTGGTTGTCTAAACTTTTGGAAGATCCAAGCAAAGGCTATGAAACATAGGTAAGAGGGTCAATAAAAATCAATATGACAATTATAATCTAAGAAACACGGCAAGAAACCACGTCAAAGGGCTCGAACCTGGAAGCATCTGCTTCAAAGAGCGTCACAGACCATTACACAATCATGCAGTGCAGCGATCGTACAGTGCCCGTTTCGGCCCTTCAAGGCGGCGTACACCCAGAATTTCACTTGTGATATTCAGTTCTCTTTACGGTGCATATGTAGGGCCCAGAGAAAACCAACTGCGTTGGTCTGGTCTTCCAATGTTGCCTCTAACAACGAGGGGAGAAAACGCGCCTGATTTTTTGCGCTCCTCCAATTTTTTTGCGATTTGCCTCCTTCGGACGAATCCACGAAAGCGTAAGCTGCAGTTGCAGTTGCAATCGCAGGCTGTTATGCAGTTGCTTTTTCGCCTCCTTCGGATGAATCCACGACAGCGTAAGCTGTAAGCGTACGTTGCAGTTGCAGATGAAACTGCAGGCTGCCATGCAGTTGCAGCTGCTCGTGCCGACGGGGTCGAGCGATTCGAGGAGACTCTCCTTCCTTTGAAGAGAGGGTCCTCGGGAATCGGGGTTTTTGAGGGTTTTAGAATTTGAAGTTCATCACTGTGATGAGAGTCACGGAAAAGCCTCAGGATGACAAAAATATGGGAGGCGAAATTTTGGATTAGGCTGCCTTTAGAAACCCTCAAAACTCCTCGCTCAGAAGCCCGCAGCAGATAGCAAAGGCAGATTTGAATCAGAGTTCCAAGCCCTATAAGGCAATACACATTTCATCTCTAAAGGCCCTTCTATTAATCTTCATTATCCCTTATTAAAGAAATGTCAAGCAATAGCAACTGCAAACATATCAAGACTTCAATGAAGGATGCTTATTTGAAGCCAGTCTGATGACTTAAATTGGAGCGGTCTGAGTGTTGCAGACATTAGAAAAAAGTACACTTACCAGACAAGCATTTCCGGATTGTCTTCTGCTTGGGGGCAGCGTCCCGGCAAAGTGGATTGCCGGGCTTTTCTAGCGGTGTTAAAATAGTCCCTATTTGAGCGATATGGAGTTTTGGAGTAGAGTTCGGAGTGGGAAGGGGGTCTCCGAATTTTTAGAATTTGCCCTGAAAGTGGCCCGGACCCTACGGTAGGCCCGAATGCCGCCTGCAGTTTCGAACTGCGAAGTCAGAGTAGATATAGTGCACAGTCGTGACCGTAGGGTCCGACAGCGAACTCAGCGTCTTAGCCTTGGCTAGTTTTGGGTCCTCACGTTTTAATTCAGAGTAAAGAGGGCTTCGGAAAAGCCCATTTTCGCCAATTTGCGCCTTCCAACCTACATAATCGGAATCCGGAAGCGGATGCCCAGGTAACCGCGGAAAGCCTTTGCATTAAATTTTGCCGAGCCGCTGCCTTTAGCACATATTATCAGACGCTCGATAAGTTTTAGCATACTGTCGCAAAAATTTTCTACAACTTTCAAGTTATGATGCAAGTACAGTAGAGTCATTGCATATGATCATTTGTGTCACTGCATACAATGTCTATTCGAAACACACACCACCACGTAGTTCTTCGTTGATTTCTTAATATTTCCTATCCTTTTAGCTATAGAACTTCTCAAAGCGATGTGAGTGTAGCAATCAGTCAGTCTGTTGCCTTCTTGCGATCGAAATTCAAGAGGAAGAGCGCTAGATGCATATTGCGAGCAATCTTACATGAGAAGCTGATTGTCTGTTTGTCTATATGTTCTGTCTGTCTGTAGGTCTGTACGTATGTTCATAAAAATTCCTATTTCTAGACCGATCCGGACCAGACTTTGCACACATACCCTTTGGGGCGGGGCGGGTACCGCAGGCTACTTTAGTCGATCGACATCGATTTTATCGATTTTACTGTTTTTTGTAAAGTTTGACCTACGCGGCTGGGGGTTGGCATAGGGGGTAATCGAGCATGCCAATTACGAATATAATGTTAGTTTCTAGATTATCAATCATCTTTACCAATTTTATCGATTTTTTCTGCAAACTTTGAGCTACGCAGTTGGGAATTAGCACAAGGGGATAAGTGTGCATGCTAATTACGAATACAATATTACTTTTTATAATTGTCTATTGCTTTTGTCAATTTTATCGATTTTTTGCAAAGTCTGGCTACGGGCGTAGGATTTGGCACAGTGTGGTGAGTGGGCTTGCTGATTACGAATACAATATTAGTTGTTATAATTGGCTGTTGCTTTTCAGTGCAAAGTTGGACTGCGGGGCTGGGAGTATGCAGAGGGGGGAGGGGGGTAAGTGAGCATTCTAATTACGAAAACGAGGCGGGGATGGGGGAATTGTTACGTAGAAGAGGGCACAGCGAAAGGTTGCAAAGGGATAGAGATGGTACCTTAATCACTGTGTTTTGACAGAGCCGGGCGGAGCCGGGTAAGCCGGCTAGTGACAGATATGATCAAACGAATTGATTGGAGTGTTGCTCAAAAAGAAATCACTTACTCTCTATGCGTTTGATTTTCGCTTCCCATGGTATGAGATAGATTTTGAAGTTGTCGAACCACCGGCTCATCTGGGTAATTCGTCTTCCTGCTTCAGCCTTGAATAACCGTACTTTTGACACTTTTGCCTCCTGCCGTTGAAGGTGGCGCTGGGCAACTCTGAAATCAATTAGATTTTTTGAGTCAACTTCAATTTCTTGACATTTTTCATAATCAAGAAATTCTTACACTCGTGATTATAAGAGGATAAGAAACTAACTAAAGAACGCGCTTTTTGGCATCATGCTCCGTGGCAGCACTGTTAAAAATGCATTTATAATGTTTTTTGAGCTAGTGCACATGCTAGTAGACAAGATCTTTGTTAGAACTTTTTGAAAATAGCGACAGTCTTTCACATTAATTTATTGGGCTACAATTCTTATGAGGGAACTATATCCCAACTTGAGGTGACAAAATGGAATGAGCCGCATATCATTAGATACGCCTTTGTTAGCCGAGTCCAAATCTACCTTCCATATATGCGACGCCATTTTCTGGAAAAGCTATAAACGATTAAAAATGTGAAGCCTTCGAGGCTTTGATGCATAATGTGCTTTAGACTTCAACTTAATCTCACTTACTTGTTAGGAGTGCATGACTAGCATGATATTGAGTGTACTGACTTTAAGGGCTGGCATGTAAAGGAAACACAGATAACCATTTTTGAACAACCAAAAAAGTCAAAGTATTGTGAGAAAATGTGAGCAACGAAAATTCTAAATTGGCAAATATACAGCGCCATACCTCAAGTAGCCGATCAAATACACTTTTTTGTTTTCTTTGAATGTGAGCATTCCTTAAAATCAGTACACTCAACTTCATGCTAATCATGCAATCTCAAGTTGGATTTCAAAGCACATTATACATCGAAACTCCAAATTACACACGGTTAAGCTCATGAATTTTTCCGGAGAACGGTTCGCAGGTATGGAAGGTAGATTTTGAATTAATTTCATCAAGACGCATCTAATGGTAAGCGGCTCATACCAGTTTGCCACCTTAAGTTTGGATCGTTTCCTTGTTAGCAAGTGGAACTCCCGCAAAGACACTATGGAAGTCTCATGCGCAATAGAAGATCACCCGGAAGTATCTAAAAGAAAGGTAATCAGCATGATGCTTGAGTGCTTCGACCCGAGGATAGAGCTTTCTTTGATGCACAAAGCAAAGCCTTTCTTGCGAGAGTTATGGCAGATAAATTGTAACTGGGACACCCCCTTGCCACGTACGTCCACAAAAAATGGAAGAAGATTTTTGAAAGCATACATGGCTTCACGAAGACTCCGCCACCCTTCATCTGCACAAATGATGGTTGCTATTCTTATAACATTCGCAGACGCGAAGGAGTAAGCGAAGCGATTGCAGCGCGCAATTATTAGGTTGTCCAAAAATTAATGTCCGTTTTGAATTTCAACCGCAATAGGTCATACATTTCTCATTTCGGAGTAGGCCGCAAGGTACTCTTCGATAGAGCAAAGCAAGCTCTACAAGATTGTTACCTCGTTTTGCGATAGCTTTCATTAACCTTGAGTTTCGAGCCAAAAACTAAGATGATTCAGGTTTGCGAAAAATTGAGAAAAATCGTAACTCAGTTCATAAAAATCCTACAAAAACTCTAACTTGCTCACGTAGACGCTATCCATATAAGACATCTATATACGCCGTTGCCGTCTTTTTTCACCTTTTAAAAATGAAGAAAACGGAAATTTTCGTGCAATTGCTGAAGTGATGCTGTACCGTCCCCACATGAGTAGTTGTGTTGTACAACCCTGCAGAAGTACAAACGTAAATTTTCAGCTCTCCGCAAGCTTCAGTTCTCGAGAAATTTGAATTATGGCTTGGACCACCTGACTAAGGAAAGTCGTACTCGAGAACCAAAGCTTATAGAGAGCCAAAAATTTACGTTTGTACTTCTGCAGATTTGTAGTATACAACTACTCATGTGGGGACGGTACAGCATCACTTTGGCAAATGCACAAAAGTTTCCGTTTTCTTGATTTCCAAATGGTGAAAAAAGACGGCAACGGCGTATATAGATGTCTTATGTGGATAGGTCTACGTGAGCAAATAAGAATTTTTGTAGGATTTTTATGAACTGAGTTACAATTTTTCTCAATTTTACGTGCAGCTAAATCATTTTAGTTTTTGGCTCGAAACTCAAGGTTAATGAGAGCTATCGCAAAAACATGGTAGCCATCTTACAGAGCTTGCTTTGCTCTATCGAATGGTACATTGCGGCCTATTCAGAAATGAGGAATGTATGACCTATTGCAGTTGAAATTCAAAACGGACATCAATTTTCGGACAACCTATTACTTGCGACTAGAATCCTGTTTCACGCACTCCACTCAAAGGAAAGACGACTTATCGAAACGAGAATTGGATACAGTAACACTGGCGCTACGAATGACGAACTCAACCTGAGCACAATTGCATTCTATGCTACAGCTCAACCAAGCACTCGTATTTTCGTACTTAGAGATTGCGCTAAGTTGGACAAAAAGAACCCGTTGAAGGACGTTGGACAAGCGGTATTCCAAAGGCTACTTGAGCCTTGAGCGAATCTTGAAGTATCTTAATGACCAAGGATACACAATGCATTCTACATTACGTCCGAAGATGACCCAACAGAAGCAAGCACAAGAAGACCAACGAAAAACGAAGAACGCAAAACCACACGTGGGGGACAGGTCTCCAAGATCCACCGCAGCAACGGTTACAAAACGATCGGCACATCACAATGGAAAGCAGTCAAGGAGGGAGAAATAATCTTAATGGAGGAAAAACAAGTTCTTGCTTTCAGAACTGTCGAAGACTGCCAAAGCAGGAAGTGCTATCCATGTTGCAGCGAAGCACATGGCAGCAAACAACTCGCACTGTAGCTTGGATCCTTTGCTCTGTCAGGAACGCCGTGAGACAGGCAAATGCTAACAACTAGACGCCCGGAACACCATCTAAGCTACTTTCCGTATTGATTAACGCTATGGGAACAAGGCTAAACGGAAAGGAGATACTCGTCGCAGGGAGGACGCTCATCAGGCTCGATCAACGGCAAATAACCCCAAACGTCATGAACTCTATCCAACAACTGAACATCAAAAAGGATGCCGGAGGCCTTCTTCGATATTGTGGGCGATTGGGTAAAAGCGACCTAGATGATGATCTCAAAATTCCGTTGATTATCCTACAAAACTCGATTTTGGCATAAAGAATAATCGACGATTGCCACAGCAGAGGACATCCATCCGTTAGCCCTACTATGGTGAACAAACGTCGATAATATTGAATACCAAAATGCGAGCACCGGTTACGCGGTGTGTGAGACGATGCTGCCATGCCAAAATCGGCAATCTGCCCTACAAGCATGCGGAGCAGATGCTTCTTGCGAGACGAATGCAGAAATCCAGACCGTTTGAGCACGTCGGATTGATTTACTACGAAGCCTTGCCAACTGCATTACCCGAGGCATAGAGGGTAAATGCTACGGAAGCATAATTACTTGTGAGACCACAAGATTAATCCACTTGGACGTAGTCTCGGACATGTCAACAACACCTCCCTCTGGACGTTGCATTGTTGTTGCGCCCTTCTTTGCAAGACGGGAAATTCCACGATAAATCACAAGTGATAACGCTCCCACTCCATGCTAGGAGAAATTATACTCAGAGAAGCGGTTTACAGCTAAAAGTGTTCTTGCTATTGAGCAATTCGACAAAGAAATTGCGTGGCATTACAACTCCACACGCACGTGGCAAGAAGATTTCTACAAAGGTCTGATAAAGTCCATAAAGCAAACACTCTACAAGACTTTGGGCAAAAGCGTGCTAAGTTTCAAAAAGCTAATCACGGTCACCATTGAAATCGAAGCAATTCTAAACACAAGATTCCTGCTATACGTGGAATCAGATTTCGCAAATAAAATGGTATTGATGCCGATCGACTTTTCACAAAATAAGATGAGGATATCTTATCTAGTGAATGCGGTCAATGAGGATGGACCCATCTTACTTGCCAGCAGTAGAAAAATCCTGCTTGTACAAAAGAGCAAACAGTTCAAGCCTTGCAATTTTCTTGCAAACTGACGGAAAAATTTCGGTAGCTATGGCAAAATCTTTTTGACGGCTCTTCGAGAGAAACCCAAGCCAAGTAGAAAAACAGAGAAGTTCAAGCCATATTCCTAAGGTGGGCGAAGTTGTCTTGCTGTGCGAACCAGTCCAGCCAAGACATGCCTGGAAAGTTAGAGAAGAGAAGAAACTTTTCAAAAACACTGACGAAATTACAAGAAAGCTTTGGTAAGGCTCCCGTCTCAAAGAAGGATCCCAGGATTCCTTTCTTGTACCATTAGAACTAATCGGAGGGTTGATTATAAAGGGACGAATGCAATCTCAATACAAGTGAAACACTGGAAGACGAACGCGCTCCTACTGTTTTCTTCTGAGTGCACTCTGCAGAAATGTAAATGCATTGGCAAAGGAAGAGCCTAAAAACACAGTCAAGTGCATTCCAGGAAGAATCGAGTTGCTTTTTAAGGATAATGCCCATATGAGTCGTGCGAAAAATTATTGCAATCAATTTTAGGGCCAAAAGCATATGAGATTATCCATTCTTCGCCACAGAAAAGGCTTCCACCAGAGTGCCGAAGCCACGCCAGTGCTGCACCGGTGCCGAGCCAGCGCCGAGCTGTCCTGGCGCTGTTTCGATCGATACAAGTGCATTCCGTTCGGGGCGGGACTAGCTGACCCTGTGCCGGCAAGGCGCTATCGAGCTTTTGACAGAAAGTTCGATCAATAGCCGGTGCATCTGCCTGGCTAAGAATTAAGTCAGCTAGCTTTGCCTCGAACGAAATGCACGTGTATCGATCGAAACTGCGCCGGGAAAGTCCAGCGCTAGCTCGGCGCTGGCTCGGCGCCGGCGCAGCGCTGGCGTGGCTTGACCATCCATGAGCAGTTTGTACAGTGAAAACTTCTATACAAAGAAACAATCAGAATGATAGAAACTGCCTGCTCGCCTACTCCGTTCTGCGACCAGATCGATTGCGTACTCTGTTCAGCAGTCATTTCCAATCATGAATGTTGGCCTGTGCGAGTAATCGCAGCGACTACAATAGTCATGTACTTCTTCATAACTGGTTGCTACGTATTTTGCTATGTGCTGCGTGCCGCTCACGCTCGGCAACTCTTGTAAGCTCGCAGTATGCATTTTTGTGGTGCGGCATTAAGAGCGTGGTTTGCAGAAGTTGCCGACCATTATGACGAGCAACGACAGCAAGACAACAGCAAATAACATCGGAACTTATGAAATTACTGGCTATTGTCGCACTACCTAGATAATCGCCAAGGGCAGGCGGATGCGAATTTTGAGCAAGTGCTCACCGGAAAAATAGTTTGCTGATTTCTTGCGGTCCGCTTGCAGAAATTTGGAATAATTTTAGCGAGATTTTAGGCGAACGCTTGGAGAACAATCGCGGTTTCCTTATAGATTAGCTGCGGCGCAGTGGCCGCATTCTCGACTTTCCGCGAGAATATGCAAAATTTTCGGGGGCCCCACGGTCCTTTGTGGAGGACCGCGTAGCCCTCAGGTACTTTCCGCTGAGAGAAAGTACCTCAAACTTGAGTAATTCAACCAACGGTGACACCTCTGTCACACAGAGTCTTATCTGTGCTCGACGTACGCATGACAGTGCGTAAAAAGAGTCCGAACGCTTGCTGAAAGAAATTATTTGCCGAGCGCTTGCAAAAAATGCTGTATTGCTGCCCACTGGCAGAATATGCGACCGTAAAGGAAGTGCCGCCCGCTGAAGGTTTGGCCACGCCCCAAAATTCTGCTGACCGTTTGCAGAAAAGCGCGAGTTTGCGGACCGCCTGCCCCCGCCGATTATCTGAGTAATAACAGTCGGTACAGCAGAAGGATGTCAACAGGTGAATCTCTTCTCACACAAGTCTACCGTGTGCGCAAAGGCAATGAAACCGAGATCTGCAAGATTCGCGTGTTGGAAGCCCTCAGAATCAATCTTTTAAAAAAGAGGCAAGTTACAGACTAATTAGGAATGACTCGACCACTCGTCAGGCAAGGTATAGTGGGAACCGCTCCATACCTGTGAACCAGAGCACGAAAGCACACTCGAGACACGATCTAAAACGTAATGGATAGCAAAAGATGCCCAGACAGGCTCCCGCCTAGAAAGCACATTTGCATTCTAGGCGGGAGCATCGATAAACGCCACAAGTCTCATACTGGAGCTGGAGAAGGGGAATCACCATCCAGGAATCATTGAGTGTGTAGAATCCATTGAAGGACCAGGATGCGATTGTTTCTATTGGGGCTAAGGCCGCCTTTTCTCGCATCTACCTCGCTCCATCCACAAGTGTTCAAAATTTTCTACTGCAATTGCTGGACACTGGCAGCCAAAGTCAAGTTTACAGTTTTTGATGCAGTACAAGAAGTGACACGCATATTTACAGCAATCATGGTTCCCAATGTACCCATCATGCAGATGCGTTCACTCTTTTGTTAACCTCTAACCATCTCACCAATCCCGCTGCTAAACACAGCTTTCATCACTGACGGGAACAACGCTGCACTCTAGAGTTTCGTAAGAAAACCACTTGTAGGGTGCGCCAACAAACTGCAGCCGACTGGACTGCACGGTTACAGACAATTACCGGTCTGCTCCGAGGGAAGTCCAAGCTAACTGCAAATGCCGTGTAAGCATCTCTGAGATGTTTGGGGACGTCAGAAATCGCTTGCCGGCAATTTTTCAGCAATCTCCTTTAAACATAATGAGGAAGAATATGTGAAAGCTGAAGTACAAAATATGACTACGGTAGAGGTTATCGTAAACATTCAAACAAATGTGGTGATGGAGAGGACAATCTGCACGATCGCAGATGCAGTTCTAACGGAGATGCTACAAATGTCTCAGAGGTGCAAGAACTACAGCTGAATTCACATCACCAAAGCAAGCCAAAATCATATGCGAATCTGCCAGCTTAAAAGTGGAGTGTGACCAACAACGAGCGTTTGCGGAGCTTCAGTATAGCCTCGAACGAGAATGCAAATGACATGTTAGTGTCTTGTGGAACTGTGATGACAACCTTTAAAGTAGGGCATTCCCAGATCTACACAAACGGCTCATGGAATGATGACACAATGAGTGTCGGAACGGAGACCGAGGCAGAGGCCCAATGGCCAGATTTCTGGCACATCGCGGAAGTTTCCTTGCAGTGGTACAAGACGTGGATAATGGCAGTAATCGCGCTAATTATCGTCTTGGAAATCACCTACGCCCGTTTTCCACTGCAGCAAGTGTGTTGTGTAATTCGCTTTCTCAAATAAATAAAGCTGCACATGCTACTAATCGTCTTCTATGACGACCTTTCTGCCTATTGCCGAAAATCAAAGAAAAGCTCCGCGAGAAACTTCTCTAAGATTTTGCGATATTACTCTCTGAAAAAGTCAACTCATTCTTGTCATCCTTCACAGATCACAAAAATTTACATCGAACATTGAATTTTGCACAAATCAATTCGATTCCAAACGGAACATGGAACGAGAACGATACGAACAATATTAAGAGGGGATCAGCAGCTTGTAATCGAGGATCTTTGACAACTGAGGCTTTGGAACAACAGATTACCTACATCATGGCAAACATGAGAGCAAAATCGAGGAGGTGGCGAATTTTGTCTCGCACTGGAGGCTCCACAAGTTCAGAAAGGGTCAACGCCCAGGATCGCTAGTTCAAAGGCTTATGGACTATCAAGAAATGCTGACAGCGGGCAGGGAGCTGCAGGGAGACGTTCTTCGGATGGACGAATTTATGCCATATCTCAGACGTTTATAAAATCGCGGCCGACGCAAAGCTAGTATCCCGTGAGAGATGGTAGGCATGGCAGTTCCTCAAGATGGAGTTGGACCCTGTGAGCAAACAAACAATGAGTAGATTGCCATTCAAAACGTGATTCGCGTTAAAGCCGTCCTCAACAAGGCGAGGGATTATATGTCCGCTCGGGATGACGTAGGAGGACGAAGGAGAACTGCAAAAGCGGCAAGAGCGCGACCCAGCACCACTTGAAGCTCCGGAACGGCCACCAGAAGGGCAGCACATCCTAAACCAGGTCGACGCTCTGGAAGCAGGAGTGGTGACAGAGAAGCAGCAGCAGGGCAGCCGATAAAAGAAAGAAGACGCCGGCAAGCAGGAGATAACGAAGAAGACGAAGGAGACAATCGATGAAAAAACGATCATCAAGCAAGCCTGGAGTGTCGAGAAACTCGACCGACATTTTCTCCATTCTCTTTCAATGACTGGTTTTTTATTGCCATTGAAAGTTAAGTGCGCGGCAAGCCCTATCTTTGTACGGCTGCAGCTGCGCCAAGTATCAAGTAAAAAGTGAGGGGACCGCCGCAGCTGACGACCCCCTCTTTTCGTTCTTGACTTGACCGTCATTTAGACAACATTGCTTCATCTCTTTTGGTCTTGCCTTGTCTACTTTATTTTGGGTGCCACTATTTGTAAAAACTTTATTTAGTTCAAAACATATCAATTGGATTTTATCACTATCTTTCTGCCATAATCAAAATCTCATTTATGCTGGTATTTAATTCGCTTGCGATTCGTTTGATAGAATTTTATATTTGTTAATTACTCAAGTTTGAGGTGATCTCCTCGTGCACAAATCAACAATCTAAAAACCCGCGTGGCAACAACGAGCAGAGTACATCGATCTCAATTCATCATAGCTTCTTGCTACCCCTCACGCCTTCCACGAGGTTCACACTGGTAAGCCTTTCCCGTGTTTTATCCAAGTCTGGCAAACCGTATATCAGTCCAAAGATCGTAGACTTACATGGTGATAATGTCACCAGTCCAGTATTTTTATATAAACAAGAAATTCAAAAACCTTGTCTCAATTATTATCTATTTGTTTCCCCTTAGGTAGACAATTTTTCGTATATTGGAAAATACATTTCGTTTCTGCCCATGATAAACAATGTCACCTAGCTCTTCATAGATTGTGTGAGAGTATTTAGTAAACAGTTGTAGATAGTATGTTTTCCAAACTGCTTTGAATTTGATTCGCAATCATGTTGATTGAGCTCGGAAGATCGCTCACAATGATGAGCAGAAAAACGCAAACAAAAGAAAAATGGCAGAGAATGCTGAAATTTCAGGACCGCATAAAAATCAGGCTGGCTTCGAGCGCAAATTGTGTTTGAAAAAGAGAAAGATTGCCGTTTTGACATGTTGACCAAAGTTTTGGCAAGTGATTTCCTTCTGCTGGTCATCTTAAGGATCGTCCACCCTAAATGAGATCGATGAAATTTTGATGCTTTACAGTAGAGGGGCCCCCAACTGTATACTTGCCCAACTTGCGCTGTCAAAAGTTGCTTCCGAAATGAGAAACTTGCTTCGATCGCTTTGGAGTGTTTGTGTTAATCACCTTGGCTCCTTCCCTTTGAGTGGGAGTGACGTTCGTCTCGCCCATCCTTGCACACCCAACCAATCATCGTTCCGGAGAAATCGCCACGCGGGTTCTGCGGAACGGGGATTGTCGGGATTTTCGCGGATTTTCGCTTGTAACCGGAATCAGGCACATGAGAAGGTCGGTCGCGGAATGACAAAAACATAGAAGTCGAGAAATTGGGTGCGCGATGCTTTCAACAATTGCACCCTCCCGTAAATGTTCTGCAGGTATCTTGAAAGCTTTCGATTTTCGAGTTTTGAACCGACAAAAGCGAAAACTGCGAACAAGAAGTTCAAAATCGATAATGTTTTTTTCTAATTTCCGCTTCTGCTAACCTATATGCATCGCTTCCTTTCTCTTTTTCCAGATAACTCCACTTTATCGGGGGGGGGGGGGCTACTCAAACAACCGCTACAGATTCTATTTTTGAACTGTCGAAGATGTAGCCAATTAGGTGGAAGAACAGATGCTTACTTTAGCGTCCTTCGTTTCCTTTTCATGTTCCAAGGTTGACCACGTAATTTACCAATTATTTCTCGTTTATGCCTAATTGCTTCAAGTATTCGATCTTTCGACATAGTCCTTGTGTCTTCCTCGTCCTCGTCATCCTCGCCACTAAATGTTTTTTATCCCAATTTTCTCTCTTTTACGTCAAGAAAACACCATAGTAGTGAGAGCGTGAAGTATTTTGAAAGTACTTACTCATCCGCAACAGCGTTTCGCGTACTTGTGTGTGGTCGTAATAATACGCTTGATGAACGGCGAAACAAGGAAATGAGATCCACCTGTATATTTGCAAATACAAAAAGCATTTTATTTCTCTTTAACGGTTACTGACCAGGACAGATGAGCGTCTACTCATGCGGCTTTCCAACTCTTCGTCGGTAGTAACGCCGCCTTCTGTGGATGACTTGTTTGTTTGGGAGTGATCGGCTAAACAAAAGTGTTTATATTATATAAAATTTATGCACAAAGCAAATATTTCTTGTGATGCATGCCTGTCTTGTTGTGTTGTTGCGCATTAAGTGTAAGTTGTACACTTGCCATAGGCTATTGGTGTTGATGATTTCTGTATTAACAACCTAATCACCAAATTCTTTTTCTGTAGCCTACAAAATTCACGTAGGCTAAGTTGTAAACCATTTACTCTTGAATATCCCATCATTCAAGAATGCGTGGCACCTCTGTACAGCCGCGGTTTGGCTACGCTCCTGAATCAGGAATGTAGCCAAACCGCGGCAATGTCTTTTGAGCCATGTACCTTGCTTACGTTGTGCATTGTACCATTGGGCAAGTTCTGCCTTCTACTTTTTCGTTTGGAGAGCCCTCGACCCATGGTCCCAAGAAAATGTTTCTACTATTTGCTAGTTAATAAGTCTCTTGTAGTAGTCTTTCAAGCTGTTGAGGTGCCATTTTGTAAAGCTGCTTTCAACTTCACAAAATTTTTCAACTAGATTTACAGCATAGAGCAAATTACCTTTCTTTCTCCATTACCATGGGGTTACAATAACTTTGCGCAAGTTATTGGACCATTAAATTCATGCCTTACCTCAGAGAAAGAACCACATAAATTGCAACTCTCAGCGAAGATGATGGAAGTCACTGATTACGCACATAAAACTTGCACTTTACCGCAATGCTTCGTTAATAAGATGCCAGCTGCACCGCAACAATCGTTGGATGTTTCTTCATAATTTGAATGCTACATAAAAGCTCTAAATTTCATAAAGTTGAGAATTGAAATCAGCATGGTTGACCTTGTCGCACAACTTCCAAATTTTCTTGACAATTGTTTAAAACGATTTATTTCACAATGGTGCAATGTGCTGCGGATCCCCACCGTGGCCTCCAATAAGGCATAGAAATTGATGTTTCGCTCCATAATGTATGTCTAAGTAGAAGCCGGCTCTACAAAATGGTTCCGTAAGAGCGGCAAATACAATAAAAGAGAGTTACTGAAGAACGAATAATAGGGGCATTTTTGGGGCACTCCATGGATCCTTCTCCCTGTCGAAATCTACGTCACCTGCGCGAATAATTCTAGATTTCATGTAGTTTACCCTTGGCATTCAAACTCCCTTGCAGTAAATTTTTCTCGGCAAATCTCATAATCAAAAACCCGAAAAATCGAAGCCTGAAGACTTGTGAGGCAGGACACAGGATGTTAAACCCTTGCCCCCCCCCCTGTAAGAGAACAGAAGATAATAAGCAAAACGGTTTTTGAATACAGTTAAATTGGAGGAGGGTAGTAAAGGATATTCATCGACGGGTGTCCCGATTCGTGCATTTACACCACCGTGGGCGTGCCTTTTTGGAGCCTTTCCTTAAAGTAAGCTGCAGCGTGCCGGGGCTTCGTAGCTCGCAGCAACCCTGTCCTTAAACCTCTTTTGTTAATCTAGGTATTTCACATCGTTTTTTTCTCTTCTTAGTTTTTGTATTTCAGTCAGTCATTCATTTTCCCTCTCTCTTAGGTCCTCTCAATGTTCGTATATCCTACGTCCTTCTTTGATGAATACTGAAAAGTACGGAAGAATTTGTTTAGACACATTTATTGAATTTCTCTCTCTTTTTACCCCAGACATTCTTCTTTCAAAATCGTGAACCATCGCTCAGGCAAATTGGGTGAAAGGGTGTGCTTTGTTCATAGGTAGGAGGCAGTGATGGCTGTCATGAATTCTCCTTGAATGGGCCACTCTAATGTTTATTTCAGCACTTCTATATGGTGCCCCTGATGTAGGAGTGCTAAAGTACTTCAGTGGTCTGTCTCAGGAAAATGTAACATCATTACAAAACATTGAAGAAAACATGCAATCCCAATCATAGCTGTGATATCTACTACTGTAACTACAAAGAAAGTCATTCTTTTCTCCCATTTGCTCGCGGCGATGATCTCACATAGACATTAAATCGGCTGATTGCCTGAAATGAAAAATAAGAGAAAAAAACCATGTCAAATGCTCAAATCAACAGAAGAGGTTAAAGGACAGGGATGCTGCAAGTTACCAAATCCCCGCGCACTGCAGCGTGCTGTCAAGCTGGAAAGGCTTCAAAAAGGCACGCCTGCGGTGGTGTAAATGCAAGAAACGAGGCGGTCGTCAACGGATATCCTTTAAATTCACTTAGGTAGTTCGTTTGTTATGGAAAGGCCCGACAATGAATCGAGTGAGCTGGAACTTTACATACATACGTCTTCAACCCTTGAGGTTGTTTAGCGCTACTTTTTGCGGCGATTCGTTGGGTTATTTTATCGATTTGTTGATTTCTTTATGTATTTCTACAGAAATAAAAGCTTGTCATGTTCTAACCGCATTCTCCCATAATCTCTTTTAAAGCGGGCGGTGAAGCTCATTTTAGTCTAAGGATCCCGAAGATGCGGTAGAGTGGAGATGTTCCCAAATAAGTTATCCATAAGGAAGAAGAGGGGTTCTATTTTCAGTACTGTGCTGGGACCAAAACAGTATTTACCTCTCTCCAGTGGACAATGGCCCGGGCTGAACAGAAAAGCCAGCTAATCATTAGGCTGTAAAGAAAGTTCCCGGGCACTTGCGATTTTTTTTCCAAACTGTTGTAACTCTAAGCAGATTGATCCCTTTTAAAAGCGCAAACTTCGCTGCAAAGGCAATGTTGTCTATAAGTTATGCTCTTCGGGTCACCAGCTTGCGCAGTAAGAAAAAAGGTCGACTTAGATTTCGGACTCTTAGTACAGGAATTTCTCAGGCATGAAGAGAGCTGGAGAGCTCATATCCGGTAGATAGGTAGAACTCTGCTGGGGCTATTAAAGGACTGTGTCACAATTCTAGAGCACAGCCTGTGAAAAAATTTTTCTCGAGAAAATTTTTTTGCATCTCAAAAATGACCCACTTTTTGAGTGAAAGAGTTTGAAGTCCTCCTTCTTTCTACAAAAAGAGTCTCTTTAATTGCTGCAAATATTGTTGAGGTAATGTCTTGCACATCTTTTGGGCCCGTCACCGAGGCCTGATGATCCGTACAAAATCGACGCCGACAGCGAAAACACGTACGGTCAAGGACAAGTTTGAGAGCTTGCAATTTTTGTTTGTGTATTGTAGAATCCGAGCACAGCTGCGGTTTTAGAGTAGACAGCCTGCTTTCAGACCAACCTTTGAATGGTTTTCTTTGTTTACTGCGAAAAAATGGCAGCAAAAAGATAAGATGGGAAATTTTTATGGTTGCACAGACTTCCTTTTTTGGTGTGTAGATCAAACAAGGGTTTACATTGATAAAAAATTGATTGCGAGTCTAGAAAGCTTAGGCTTTTTCTAAACAAACATATAAAATATTCGTCGCTATGATTTAACCGAGTGCGAAAAAAAAAAATAAGTCTGACAATAAAATTTCCGAAACTCCCCAACTTTCTTTACAACCTAATACTTTATATTGGTGACTCGAATGCTAACAATAGCTTCATTTTACTACGAGAGATACCTCGCTACCAAGGAAACAAACTTCGCGATCACTCAGGGCAGGCAGCCAGCAAATTTTGAGCAAGCGCGCGCCGGAAAAATAGTTTGCTGATTTCTTGCGGTTCGCTTGCAGAAATTTGGAATAATTTTAGCAAGATCTTAGGCGAATGCTTGGAGAACAATCGCGGTTTCCTTATAGATTAGCTACGGCGCAGTGGCCGCATTCTCGACTTTTCGCGAGAATATGCAAAATTTTCGGGGGCCGCACGGTCCTTTGTGGAGGACCGCGTAGCCCTCAGGTACTTTCCGGTGAGAGAAAGTACCTCAAACTTGAGTAATTCAACCAACGGTGACACCTCTGTCACAAAGAGTCTTATCTGTGCTCGACGTACGCATGACAGTGCGTAAAAAGAGTCCGAGCGCTTGCTGAAAGAAATTATTTGTCGAGCGCTTGCAAAAAATGCTGTATTGCTGCCCACTGGCAGAATATGCGACCGTAAAGGAAGTGCCGCCCGCTGAAGGTTTGGCCACGCCCCAAAATTCTGCTGACCGCCTGCAGAAAAGCGCGAGTTTGCGGACCGCCTGCCCCCGCCGATTATCTGAGCAAGGGTGTAATGAGGAGCGATAGCAATTCCCAGACACCGGTGCTGAAGCATGGCGAAGCACTTTTTGCCACAGAAATCGCAAATTTCACATTCAATGGAAATGATTAAAGGTCATAAATGCTTCACAACAAGAACAGATAAGCACGCTTGAACTGAAAAAATTTGAAGTACTCGAGGTATCCGTTAGAACTAATATATTTTTATACCCCGCTTTCAAAAAAAATCTATCTCTCCAGTCGCATAAAAAGTGCTCTAAACTTTTGCAATTTTTTAGACAATGAGGCAGATATGGGCGAGGGTTACTGACCCCTCCCCCCCCCCCCCCCAGCTAACACCATCTCAGACAATTGCCGGGGGCAGGCGGGCACCGGAAAAATAGATTGCTGATCTCTCGCACCCCGCTTGCGGATTTTTTGGAAAGCAATCAGGACTTTTCGGAAGACCGCTTGCTGAGTTCTCGATTTTTCAGAGATTCAGCAATATATCTGCAAAAGATAAGAGCGAAAAAAAATTCAACAGGCGGTCTCTCAAAAATCCGCTGACTCAGCAAAGCGGTCTTCCGAAAAGTTCTGATTGCTTTGCAAAAAATCCGCGAGCGGGGTACGAGAAATCAGCAATCTATTTTTTCGGTGCCCGCCTGCCCCCAGCGATTGTCTGAGATTCTTGCTTGCCATCCCACAACCGACTTTCGCCAAGACACCTAACAAAAGGAAGGAAGAGAACAGAAAAGGAAAGGAAAACAATCCCCGGGACCAAAACAACTATGCTTATGTTGGCAATCACCGCCTTATACATGCCAGATCTACACCACTCCGAAGGCTCGAGAACTTGTAGTAGAAGCATACACCAATTCGAGCTGGCAATTGAAGACGAGATGTATATCAATAAAAGTGTTTTTAAACGCTGA